GGTACAGAATAAGCCAGGAAATTAAACCCTGTATTTACTAAAATACCAGATTGTTTTTGAGTTTCCTCAGTTAAAACACCCAAACCCACAGTGCAAAAAGAAAGATCAAAACAAATTAAATCAGATTAAGGAGTAAAGTGGGGTATATATTTGGCTTTTTCTGGAAATAACATTTTAAAATTCTCTTGATATTTAGATTTTCATCTCAACACTTCTTCCTAGAGTTTATTTTTTCACTGCATGGCGGCCCTAGTATGCCATCGTAATGAACAAAGCTCCAGTGGGCAATGACTGATGTGTGAAAAGGACACAGATCTGGATCAGTTTCAGTTTGCAGGCATGATCTTTTTCCTTACTACCGTTTAGTCCCTTCACTATGAGTGTAGATGGTCATTTTTGGCATTTTCACACCTGGCCTGACCTGGTCCGGTCTAGATAGCGTCAGCCAGGTTTTGTTCACACAGCCTTCTCAGGAACGCGGATGTCACGAAATACAAAAAAATAATAATGGAAATAACAATTATTTTTTCAGGTGGTTAAATAACAAGTGTACATCTTAAGAGAAAAGGAAGTCACTGGGGTTTAAATATGTCCCCTAACACAGTCATGTCCAGATTGTGGCTCTCCCATTTGCACTTGCATTTTATTTACATACAGTGGGTATGGAAAGTATTCAGACCCCTGTCAAATTTTCACTCTTTTTTATATTTCAGCCATTTGCTAAAACCATTTAAATTCATTTTATGTTTGTTTATTTAGCAAATGCTTTTGTCCAAAGTGACTTACAGGTGATAATCAAGCCAGCAGGTTGCCCTTGAGGCTAACAACAAACACTATTCAGTCGATCCTAGGTGTAGTGAGACAACATCATTAATCATTAATTTATTGATACACACAGCACCCCACATTGACAGAAAAACACAGAATTTCAGAAATTTGGGGAACATCTGCCTTTCCTCCTTGCAGATCCTCTCCAGTTCTGTCAGGTTGGATGGTGAACGTTGGTGGACAGTAGGGCTGGATGATATAGAAAAAAAGTATATTGATAATTTTTTTATATTGATTGATATCGTGAATTATTGAAAAATATTTTCTAAATTGTAGAAAATATTTTACGTGGAGCCCTGACCATTTTATGTTTGGTATTTTGATTTTTTTTTCCACCTCTGCTCGCTGCAACATCTTTAGGGCTGCCACAAACGACTATTTTAATAGTCAACTAATCACCAGCTTTGTTGATTAGTCGACTAATCGTGTCATTCATAAAAGTTTAGCTTATTGCACCAGGATGCTCTAAGATACCCATCAGCTTCTATTCTGAAGTGTGATCAGCTATGTGCCATCTAATAATAAAGACAAGATGATAGCTTATCAAACAACTTTTGAATAACTTTGTAACCTGTTAATGCAAATGCTACAGTCAAATGGAGGTAGGCACCTAAAACCAAAAATAAATTGTGCACAAAAATGACTTGTGTTCACAAGAGGCATGGTGGCATGCTTGAAGCGCTTCATCTTCCAATCTTAACTCAGGAAATGGCAGGACACACCAAGGTACGCCTCTGCAGCATGGCTGGTCCACACGTCAGCAGTCAGGGGATCATCGACAGCTCTGAGGGTCTGCTTTACAGCAAAGATAAAATATATTAAAGTTAGTTTATTTAACAAATTAATTATTCTGTTATATCTAATAAAGTAGACTAACATTTAACACAAATAAAATGTTTTATGCTTTAAGAAAATATTAGTTTCTTGATTGTTCAGTCAGCAATCTTTTTATTTTATCATAAAATGCTTATATTCTAATGTTTATTTTATTTGTGTCCAGAGAGAAACTGAGACAAAGACGCACACACGCACATAGACACCTACCCACACACACCTTAAAAGTTGTTTAATTCTTCTTTTCCATCATGGTGGTGAAATGGGATCAGCCTGGTAGATAGTAGTTGTCATATGTCTGTGGTTGTCATGGTATCCTGGGTTGAACTGCTTTAAAACCTTGGTACTGACCATTGACAGGAGTCTTGTGACCAACGTGCTCACAATGGCCTCAGTCAGGATGTTAGCTTGCTGAGGTGTGCACGCAACAAACTCGTCCATTCAAGAGGAGCACTTTCATTAACACTGTAATGATGAGGGATGAAATAAATCATTAGCGTTTGTAATTAGAGCAAATTTACGTGACATACAAACATGTTCTAAAGGCAATAAAATCACCACCACTACTGGTGTCACTACACCTATAAAAACAAGTAACTCTCTGTTGATGTTAGCAGCTAACAAGAGGTAAACTTACAAAGGCGACACTTTGTTCTTCCTCTTAAGATACTCGTGCATCGCCGATGTACTCCTGTGAAAGGAGAGTTTCGCTTTGCAGAGTTTGCACTCTACGGGCCTTTCCTTTGAATTTGTATAATGCTCCCGAACTTTTCAGCTATGTTGCAACTCGTCACTTTCTCTGGTGGTGAAGCTGAACTGGATAGCCACCACTGCGCTAAAGCGGCAGATGACCAGAAAGGCAGAAAGCAAACTCCGAACATGCCGCAGCAGGCAAGATTTAAAAAATGTTTATAAAATGAGGTCTATTGTATATGTTGGCGTCGTTGTGACGAGTCGACTAATCGTGGCAGCCCTAGACATCTTTCTGTGGCTGCTTCACACTCTGTTTTAGCTTGAGAGGGGAGGGGCTGGTGACGTGGCATGCCTGAGTCTGTGGTTTTGATTGGTTAGGAGTAAGTAGTGAAGCCTGAGTGTTCGCGGAGCCTGAGTGTTTGCGGCTCCCGGGTCAGGGGGTTTAAGATTTTTGGAGTTTGCCTGATCGATCCCGGTGGCTGCTGGTTGTGATCCCCCGGGGCAATCCTCTGCACCTCTCGAGAGGGGGCTGGGGCTTTTCTGGTTACAGTCTCCCTGGGGTCCCTGTGCTCTGGGGCAGCTCATGGATCTCTGGGACTTGGAGCTCCCTCCATCTCCTACACATCTTTGGGGGGCAGATCTGTGGTCTCTCACACTCTCTATTGGACGTTCCTATAGAGAAACCTTACATATACAAGCGCATGTACACACACAGGTGCTCACATGGTGCTCTCATAAGTATGGACTTGGGCATTTTCAACACATGTCTTAAGGATATGGTTGGCACTAAATGCACAGTGATTTATTATCGTGTGATTGTTCAGTAAAACAATGCTGATTTTATATTTCCTCATCAGGTTGACGCAGTGATAGTTTGCTCTGGTTGTATTGTTGTGTGTTGTTCTGTGCCCCCTTCCTTTTTTTGGTTCATTTTTCTCTTTCTGCAGGTCTAGAAGCAGACTCTTGTTCATCATTGAGTGTTCATTTTTATGGACCCCCCCCCCCTTGCTTCTTCCTTTCTCTTTCACCTCTCTCTGTGTCTGATCGAAATTATAAAGCAGTCAAAAACAATAACAATAAAGACAAGACAGCACAAAATGTAATAGAAAGAACACAGAGAGCACTGCTCAAGGAGAGGATAAGAAACGTCATAACCAAACAGAAGCGAGCAGAAGACGAACTGGAAAGAAGACACCTGGACCTAACAAGGAATTACAAACTCGATAAACAAATGAAACTAATTAAAGGACACATGATGGAAAAACAGGAAAAAGAGTTCACAAAAGTAAAAGAAAGACACATAAAGAAGTTAAACAAACTCATAAACAAGAAAAAGAGGGAGGAAATACAAGACAACTCCACACCAAACTCATGGGTATGTAACATTTCACAATACAAACTAACAGAAGCAGAAGAGCGCACATTAAAGAAAGGTTTAAACTTTGCAGTAACACCAAAAGAAATACCATATGATGAATTCATAGTAGCAACAGAACTAGCAGGTCAACAGATCACAGATGGTGGAAAGAAAGCAGAACTCAGAAATAACGTAGTTGGGATATTAAAAACAGCCAAATTCAACACAGCAATATTACAAAAGAAGAACAATCAGCCATGACAGCATTATCTTCTTTACCTTTCTCACCAAGGCCCTTCTCCCCCAGTAGCTCAGTTTGGCCAGACAGCCTACTCTAGGAAGGGTTCTGGTCATCCCAAACATCTTCAATGTAAGGATTATGGAGCCTACTGTGCTCTTAGGAACCTTAAGTGCAGCAGAGATGTTTTTGTAACCATGGCCAGATCTGTGCCTCGCCACAATTCTGTCTCTGAGCTGTTCAGGCAGTTCCATTGACCTCATGATTTTCATTTGCTCTGATGTACATTGTGAGCTGCAAGGTCTTATATAGACAGGTGTGTGGCTTTCCTAATCAAGTCCAATCGGTATAATCAAACACAGCTGGACTCCATTGATCGTGTAGGACCATCTTAAGGATGATCAGAAGAAATGAAAAGCACCGGAGTTAAATATATGTCACAGCAAAGGGTCTGAATACTTTTTTTTTGATAAATCTGTAGAAGTTTCTAAAAGTCTGTTTTTTTCTGTCAATTTGGGGTGCTGTGTGTACATTAAAGGTGCAGTCTGCAAGAATATGGTGAGAATTTTACAGTAATAAAATCCTAAAAGAGTAATGTCATTTTGGAAGGAAGGTTACACTGAAACATGGTTCATATCCAGCTGTGGGGATTGTCAGTTTTTCTCCCTTCGAAACAAAGGAAGGAGGGACGTAACAACAGTTTACTATCAGTGAGTGTGAGGTTGTCGTGTCTCCTGCGAGCTAATACTGCAGCACAGACAATTTTGATTGGACGATGGCTGGCATAAAGCTCCAGAGTTGTTTAAATTGGTTGCAGTAACCAAACTTTACCACACAATGCCATTATTACTTCATTTCTATATAATGCACCTTTAATGAGGAAAAATTTATTTAATTAATAAGAAGATGCATCATCTGACTGAGACGGAGTTGTGTCTGTTTGTTTTGGCGGCATCTGTGGTCGACGGTCTGTAAATTCCTACTGAGCAGCACGAGGCAGAGCAGTAAATGAGGGACTGAGAGACTTCCTACATGGTTTTATGCTCCTGCTAATGGAGTGGGAGGGACGTAGGAGGGGTGACTAATGAGTGATGTGCTAGGAAGGCAAAAATAAGAATGTTGGGGATGATCATAACCATATGGAGAGTGTTTTGCTGAGAGGGAAAGAATGAGCAAGAGGAGGAGGAAAGTGAGGAAAGAAGGCTGAATTGGAGAAAAAGAGAAGGCAGATCTCAACAAAGATCGTGTTATTTGCAGATAAAGATGTTTCAAAGCAAGAAGAGGCTGAGGATTAGACACGTGTGACTGGACCAGTGAGTGGGATGCAATCTCTTTGTTTTGTAACTTGAGGAAAAAGCCAGGGAGAAGCCTGAAAACAGGAAGAAGAAAACAAACGGGAGAAGAGCAGCAGGAAGGGGGAAGTAGCTGGCTGTTTCACGCACTGGAGCCCCTCTCGAATTCTTCAGGATCTGTCCTCCATCTGGAATGCCGAGTCACTTCCTCTGTCTGCTTTAACTGGGTTGTCCTGTGGCTTTTTCTTTGCTCACACCCTCTGCTCTGACAGCAATGTGAGGAAGCTCTGGAGACCGCGGGACGGGCAGAGGAGACACTCCTGACAGGACACAAAAATCCAGTGTGAGAGGTGGACCCCTGGAATTAGCCTCCACCCATTTAGTCATTCCCCAAATGGAGACCTGACTTGGAAAAAGCAAAAGCAACAAAAAAATACCATCTGCAGTCATCAGCTGAACTCACTGGAGGGTGTTCCCTTTCCCTTATAAGGCAGCAGAGCTGGGAAATCATTTGAATTAGTCTGGTTTCAGTTGCATGTCTGTCTGGTTTTAGTGCTGACTGACTTCCATCTGGTACGTTTGTGTCTCTGTGTGGGCGCTGCATGTGCTGCTTGATGTGTTTGTTTTGCCATTCTTGATTCTCCTTTTCCTGTTTGCATGTAGGTCTTTGTTTTGGGACAAAAGGAGGGCTTGTGTTTGTGGTTAAGCTAGAGTCAGCGTCATAGCCTCAGGAGTGGCTGCTTCATTCAGACTCTGCAGTTTTTCCTTCTACTCTCTCCCCAACACAGCTGTGATGTTTGATGGATCAACACACACTCACACACACCTGGGTGCAGTAACTCAGAGCTTAGGATAAGAAAACTGGAAAAAAGATCAGAACGCTGGACTGGAGTTTTTGCTGAGAGGTGGACTTCTTGTTGATGAGGAAGATTTTACGATTCGACTGATATGGGTGACTCAGAAGTAGTCCGGACCCCAGGAAGTGCTAGCTGATGGGGTTGACACTACAGCCATGGTGAAAAGGATCATGAGAAACTTTTAGACATTTAGATCAAGCACTCAGTGTACTCTGATGACTTGACCTCCAGGACAGTGCCCTCTGTGCACAGAAAACGTGGAATCTCTGCAGCGTTCAGAACCTCATGAGGATTACTCGTATGAATATACATTGGACTATTAACTGCCATGGCTTTGGCATCATGGTATCACCGAGACATCAGCCGAGTTTGTGCAGAGGACTTGTTGGCACGGGCGGGAAGGGATGGCAGCTACCTGGTAAGAGACAGTGAGTCTGTGCCAGGAGCCTATGCATTGTGCCTACTGTGAGTGTATACACACACACACACACACACACACACACACACACACACACACACACACACACACACACACACACACACACACACTGATAACTTACGGGACTGTCTTCTCTGTCACAGACACATAAACCTCAGACATACCAGGCAAATACAAATTTGGTAAAGAAAATCAGAAGCACTTCACTCAAAATTCACGAGTTTTATAAAAGTTTTGAATTGCTTCTCTGCAAATAACTTCATTGTGTGAACCTGTGAGCATCCAGAAGACTTGTAACTTTAGCAAAACCAAATTTAAGGATCTAATTTGGATTTGACATAAATATTATTCATGTTTTGGCTGTTTGTGATTTGATTTAGCAACTTCACTCATCCCATCACATCCATATGGCACCAACGACTGACATCAGCCTGTAAAGAAGCTATCCATCACTTAGACTTCTCTGTCCAGATTCAGACCCAAACCTATGACTCCTTGTTTCCCCACTTACCCCCTTTTCCTCCCCGGGGCCCCTAAAAGTGGGCTGGAGCTTCAGCAACCGCACTACGCTGACTGTTCATCGGCCCAAGCCAGAAACATTCCTGAGAGCTGAGCCTGGACGCTCATAGTGTACTCTCTTTCCTTTCATTCTTTTCTCACTATATCATCCTCGCTTTATTTTGTCCTTTACCACTGTGGTACTCTGTTCACAAAATATACAGAACTACACCGTACAAAATTAAATGTTGAATTTCCTTTACTGTTATGTCAACTGGTTCCTCTGAACTTAGTTGCTTAAATGTAAAAAGTAGTAAATATAATTTTTTTTACTAGGGGTGGGACTCAGTTAAATAATTTAATCTAAGTAATTAGAGGATTTGCAATTAATCTTGATTAACGTAATTTCTGGACTATAGCGCGCACCTCAATATAAGCCGCACCAACAAAAAAAAAAGGTTTTCTACACACACACGCCACACTCAAATACAAGCCATGGCGCAGCAGCCACATGCAGGTCTCCAGCGCACAGCGCATGTATGGCCATAACATTAGATAATTAGACAGAAAGATTCTACACGGAAGTTTTTCGTTGTTGTTTTCATTCAACAAAACGAATTTTAAACACGGGTGAGCACTGATAGCATTCATATTTCTGGATGGTTATAAAGTAAAAACAGAACTGACACGTTATTACCGGTAATTTGCATGCATGTTTAGAAGAAAAGAACAGCGCTGACACAGCATTAATAAGCCCTTGATGATTAGAAAATGAAAACTGCACACAAAACATGCCTGGTTAGTAAATAAAACACACTTGCCTACCAGAAGAAGTCATTCGCTCTCATCTTCCTCTTGCACACTAAAGCCATTAAAGTCCTCTTCTTCAGTGTCGGAGTTGAACAGCTTCAGAAGAGCTTCGTTACATACCTTTTCTGTGGTGATGTCAGTGTCGCTGTCCGTGTTGCTGTCATCATCCCCGGGTGAAGCTGGCTTGAATGAGTTCTTCCCGCTGCCGTCTCCAGCGCCAAACCATGGATTCATTCATGCCAAGCTTACGTACGGCAGCACTGTTTCCCTCCTTTACTGCCAGATCGATGGCCTTCAGCTTAAATGCGGCAACATATGAACTCATACGTGTAGTTACCATGATGGGGGGTATGGATTTGAAAATAATTATTCGTCGTGCCGGCTGCTTGCATGTGCTAAATTAAAATGAGCACTTTCTTCGATTTCCACTTTTGACTTCCACCTGTTTCACTTTCTGCTAAAGCGCCCCCTGGCAGGTGAAAGAAAATCTTCAGTAAAGCCGCACCTCATTATAAGCCGCATCGTTCAAAGTGTGGGGAAAAAAGTAGTGGCTTATAGTCTGGAAAATACGGTAATTTCAATTAAATCGTTCAAGGCAATTTGCGCCCAAGCAATTTTTTCCATTAAAAATGATGTTTGTGAGGCACACACCCACACTTTAATGAGCATGTTTCTGTAACCACAGCGTCTATTTTATTACTTTGGTCCCATAAAAGCAACCACTGTGGGATATGTTGGGATGTGTAAATATTAGTTTGTATTATTGATGAATTGTAAATAGATATGGAACATTGTAAATGTTGTGCACTGAACTGAACACTAGATGGCAGCAGAGCACTACTAATATATATTTAGAGGTGTAGTGTAGAGTTCAGGGGAAGTTCTGCTGAGAGATAAAAGATGAATGCTGTGTGTGTGCTTGTCCCTCCTGCTGTAATAAAGTTCATATGGATAAAATTACTGCCTGCTTTCTACCAACTAGAAAGCATAACTGTGAAAACAATCTTTTTTTTCTTTCTTTCTTTTTTCATGAAGAGTTAATTGTCATGATTCATTTGATTGCAGTTTTAGTTGGGTTTGGAGCATGTAAAACAGTTTTATATAGTGTAGCCCAGGCTCTGCAGTTTTGTGAGAGGTGCAGTTTGATATATGTATTGATGTATAGGGCATAAATTGTGACGCTAAACTTTTCTGGCCCCCATTTGGGGGGCACTTAGGCTCACCCCTAATTTTAACAACAGCATAACAACGTATTACTCTTAACATATAAGCAGGTAGGTTTAGTGAAACCAGTTGACATAACTTGGTTAAGTGAAATCATTTCAATTCTTACAGTCTAGATCTTTTATTATTATTATATGTGTCAGAATTCATGTCTTTAACAACTAGCGCCTTGTTGTACTGGTTCAGTTTTTCAACAATACATTTAAGAACACCATTTTTGATTGCAAAGTTGATTATAATATTTCTTTTTGTTTCCCAAAAGATTCCAACGTCATGTTCACACGTATCGTATCCTTCCTGATGCAGACGGGCTTCTGGCAGTTCAGGTGAGGATTAAATGCCACACATGGTTCTTTGCCTGAAATACAGAGGAGCAGCATAAAAGTAGTCAGAAATCATCAAACATTGGTTTGCTTTCCCTTGTTGGTCTGAGAACAGGAGTGTTTGTGTTTCCCCTCTTCACTCTTACAACTGCACTCTGTTGTTTGAACGGCATCCCTGCCATGTGTACGCATGCTTGCTGCATGAGCTCAGCACACAGAAGAAATTGTTTTCATGTCTCAGAGATTCCTGCTGGACCCACACACTAATTCACCGACCAATGGGTGGGCTGGCTTGTTCTGCACATGCATGGGGGTGTTTGTATTAGACATAATGAGTCTGTTGGATGTGGCAAAGCTTGAGGCAAGAGAGAACAAATGCCTTTTTAAAAAGCGATTTAATACTAAGACTGTGAATAACTCACGCAAAATGAAAGCCTTCAACCATAAGATTACACAAGCACACTTTGTGAATGAGACATGTATCTCTGTGATTTAAACTTTGCACATTAAAGTTTAATGTCCAGAATCTCTGGATGTAATTTTCAAGCCTTTAACGTGGAAAAATTCCCTACTTTCCCAAAAGGACATTTAACTTTGTTGCTTTTCACTTGTTTTTCCACTGCCATCAGTATAAACCTCCAGTCTGTGTTTTCCCCCACCGGATTTGCTCCACTAACTCTTTCTAGTCGCATGCTTTACTTTTTTGTTTTTCTAAGAAGGCCACAGTGCTATTTTGGGAGCACTTTTGTCTTTCTCTCTCTCTTGAAGTCTGTTGCTCCTTTTTAATTTCTTTTAAATGACTTTTCAAGAGATATTTGCGGTTTTAAAAAATACTATTCGAAGCGTTCCTGGCAAAAGAGTTGGGTCGCTTAAGCCAGAAAAACGGTTTCTGTTACCGCAAAATGAAAACTAAAAATTCTAAAAAGAGGGCAGGGGAAGTAGCTCGCTCTGCTCTGTGGTCTGACGTGTACCATGTTAAATTAGTACATGCAAATGGTAGCTATGCGATTATGTGATCTTAATTTCTGACTGCACTGCTTGTATGGGTTTGATGCAAAGTCAGTGAGCAGCAGGCCATGTGCTTGTGTTGCATCTGCGAGTAGATGATAATGATATTTCCCTCTTTCTTTTAAACTTACTGAGATTGTTCAACAGCAGTAAAAACAGAGCTGCCAACGTTTTCTGTAACCAGCTGTCTCTGCTGACACCTTCCTCTGGTCACACAGCTTTTCAAATCCCTCTGGGGCGTCTTTTTCCACACAACCTCATCTGCATGCATCTTTTTCTGTCATGCAAATTCAAACGTTTGTTTTCAAAGACTTTGAAAGATGATTTGCTGTTGCATCCTTTCTGAAACATCCACTAATGAGTCAAAAAGCACTCCAGATAATATTAGTCAAGCTTTATTGAAAATGAATATTTAACTTTTTACATTTTTTATACTAATGAATTAAATTAATTTAAAACCTTGTGTTTCTGCGTTTATCTCTTCAGGTGCCTTGTACCCATTTGAAAAAAATACCTTTGTGGGGCTGCTGGTACCCCAACCTTTATACAGCATGTCCACTAATTTACTGATGTCACTTAATCCATGAGTGGTTACAAAAAAGAAAAGAAAACAATGATAAATGGTACTTGTAGGTACTAAATTGTTCCCTAACAAGTAAAAAGTTTCTGTGGTCTTATCTGCCTTCATTTTAACTGGATGAATGTTCATTTTTCACATGTTTCTGTTGCATTTCTGTGTCCCTCAGTCGACACAGGGGGTGCAGGTGAACTGTTTTCGGACCCTCGAGGATCTGGTGTTGGGGTACCAGCAGCCCCACAAAGGTCTGGTCACCCCTCTCCTCTACGCCGTCGCCCCTGATACAGACACTGGGGATGAGAGCTCAGGTGGGTTGTTTATATGGAATTATATTATTGTCAATTACCTTTGAGACTGGGGTAAGTAGAGTGACGTCATCAAGAAAAGGAGAAGGAGAAGATTTTGAAATTTGAACAGCTATTGCCTTCTGGAAGGAGCTAAAAGCTACGCCTCATGCAGCGCATGCGCACACATAATTGCATTTTAGCGCTAACGGACAAGTTACGCTTTGATATGTTCCTGCTCAGACACACTAGATTCTTACTGCTTCTGCAGGAGCTGCTAAACTCATCTTTATTCAAATCTGTGGTGTTCAAGTAGGTGTAATGATTTAAATTACATGTTATTTAATAAGCCATAAGGCGTAGAATTCCATAGTAAATATGAAATCAACCTTACGGATCTGTGAGGTTATTTTAAACCAGAAGACTGGAACTTTTTATTGCAGGGATTAGATAACAGCTTCGTATTCACTCAGAGACAACAGAAGAGAGAGAGAGTCAAGTTTGAAAGTTAAAAAATGTATTACTAAACAAATTAAACTAGACTAACTTTAACACTAAATGTATGGTGTAACTAAGGTGGATGAGACAGTGAAGGGGGTGAGGTGTAATGTTGCTCAGAACCAGCAAATCCGAAGAAAGGATTAGTTCTGATGGGAACTGAAGGTGTTGTCTTCGCATTAAGCTTTGATTAAGAGATTCATAAACACATTCAACGCCATTTGACAGTCTACATACCCTGAGCGGAAGTCCCCGTCTAGATCAGGAGGTGTAAAGGTCCAACTTGACCTTTGTGGAGCCGGAGCCTGTAGAAGCAGCCACGGCAGCCGACCACCAGTCTTGAGATACTCCCGGGTCACGACAGTTTTGTTGGCATCTGGTGAGACCCACCTGGGTCGTGATGGTTCAGCTTTTATTCTGAAAGGAACCATTGCAGCAGGTGGAACGGCAACAGATTTTATCCAGCTTGTCGTTGGTTCTTTCGGTTGAAGAGGAAAGTTACGGATTGGCCACTCCGACACTTCTCTAGAACGCTTTGAACTGGCGTTAGAGATGGCGTGGGCATAGTTTTATACTTCGGATGTTTTGGTTTATGGTCGAATGAAAAGATGACAGATTTACCAAGCACGACCAAAACCACGCCTCCGTCAGATCTGGCAGATTCTGATTGGATCAGTGAAAGTAATGTGTCATGTCTTTTAATGCTACGTGAGATCAGTCCTATTGGAACATTTTAAGTCATATTACCTTTATATTCTATAGGATTTTAATAAAGTAATTAATGTTTTGATTTCACAGATTGGTCACATCTTATTTATTGACTAACACTTTGCGTGATTAGCTTTATTAAAATAGAGTTCTTTGATTAATTAAAAGGAGAAAGTCCATTCTTCATTCTTCTGTTGAGCTGAAAAGAAGCAGGTTAGAAGCAAATGCATGAGACCTTGAGGCCATATCTCATGCAGACTAGTTCTGAGCAGAGGAGTGGGGAAACGGTCATTTCCTTCCATTACATAGGGGAAAGTCTAAAACCAGCATCAGACACTCACAAACGTTGTCTGCCCTGCTAAAGCTACAACAGACTAAGAAAATGGTTCGATGTATCATGAGGTTAAACGCTATGCTCCAATACACAAAAGATAAATCCCTTTTGGTTACCCTCCCTCATCTTCCACAGTTAGCTTAAAGTTGACACACTAACAATAATTCAATGCAGGTTGAGTTGGCACTCAAGCTAGTTATTGTACAAAGCCGACCCTGCAGTGCATGCTGGGAACTGGGGAGCATTCTTGTTGATTGACAGCTCCCTCTTTTGGATACACAAATGTATTGGTCAATGCTCTAGGCTCTCGTAAATTATTTGTTTTGGTGTTAGGCCAGAGGAGGGGCTAATGGGACATACATTATGAAAGAATTTTGTACTTTATTTCATAGAACAGGGTCAGATGGTCAAATGCATTTTGGAATTGTTTTAAAAATCTTGAACTACATACCCCAGCTTTAAGTCAATAGATGTTCATAAGATATAAAATATTCAGTAAATATTTTCACCTCACAGGTGCAGATATTCACCACTGCCTGCAAACCTATTAGTTTAGTTTATTTGACAGTTATTAAGTAAACTTTTATTTAATCAGACAACTGAGATTAAGGACACAGAACATTTTGCAGGTCCTTCCTCCCAGCAGCTGTTAGTCTTTGCAACCACCCCTGCTCCATACTCCATGCAGTGTCTTTTCACTGCTGCTTTTTGTAAACTGCACATTTTTCTGCACACACTCATTGCATTTTCACAGTTTCCAATTCGTGTTTCCCATTCCATGTAAATATATTCCACCATTGTTTAATCCACACAATATGCTTCTATTGTTATTTCTTAAAATGTGTACATATTCAGCATTTTTTAACTATGTGTATTTTAAATATTTTAAGTGTTTCTGTGTTATGTTTGAATGTATTTTACTCTTTATTTCTTATTTTTTACTCTCCTTTTTTGCTCCTACAATAAATGTAATTGCTAGCCTGGCAAGCCATCCCATATATGTGTAAAAGCTAGATCCTACATTTGACACTACTTGTTGCTAAATACCAGTATTGGTATCAGAATCTGTATCGTATCGGTAAAAGTTAATCGATACCAGTGCAGTTGCCCGAAAGTGACTTCACTATAACTTGCCATTTCTGTTCACCTAATATTTTAGTTTTGTGATCATTTCTATTAATATATTTTATTTTTTATCCACCTCACAGTATTTTCCATTTGAAAGCAGAGAACAAAATAAAACCTGTATTCCAATTCATTGCATTTTTTGTGTGTGGTAGAAGTATCGATAATCGGTATCGGCGAGTACTCGGATCCAAGTATTGGTATCGTATCAGTTCAGAAAAAATTGGTATCGTTGCATCCCTAATTTGTAGGCTTTGTTTTTACGTGCGCTCAATCAAAGTTCAACATGTCCTTCTTCATGTCCAACAGTTATTTATTTCATTATTATATGGCATTTCCCTCTAAACCGTTTCCACTCAGCATAAACTCAGATTAAGCACAGTAGGAAAGTGTATTCCTCCCTCTCATTAGCGACACCTGAACAGAATTGCAATTGTCCTTAAACAGCCTCTTAGCAGTAATGAAAAACAAACAAAACAAAAGTGAAACACAGCACCTACATGTAAATAAATTGTCATTCTATAACCTATTGAAACCATGCAGTCGTAGAACAAAATCTACGATTGTCTTTCAAACGGTCTCTGCACGCCTTTGGACAGTGTTAGGACCAATGGAAGCAACAAATAACATGACATATTCATCGCTATGGAAACCAGTCAACGGAGCAGAAAAAGTGGAAAAGACGATGGACATTTCACAATATGCATACTTGTCCGAACTTGTGTACTCATGTCCTTGTGAAACGTCATCATTGACGGCCCATGGACTGTTCCAATCCTAAGTATGCATAACGACAAGTTCGCTCAAAGTTCCCGGATGTGTTCTTACTCCGCCCATTGTATCGAAGATGCATCAATGCATCCTTCTGCGGACTTGGGACGGCAAAGTTTCCCATAACGCATTGCGTTGCAAACCATTAAACTCCGAACGTCAGAGGAGAAATCTAATAACCATAATGTTTTATATTAGAAATATAAATAAAATAATATAAAGTTGTCTGTTATTGTAAATAATCTTGTTTAAATTGTGAATTTTGCTGTGTGTGTTTGGGTTTTACTCTTCAAGATCCTTCAAAATGCTAATTGGCTAACCCACTATCAAAATAAAAGCACCGTAGGTTTATTCTGATGAAAAAAACTTTTATTATTCATTAAAGAGTGGCAAATGCTAGTATTTTATTAGTTTTGATCAAAAGTGGGCCAAATATAATACAAATAATATATTTTTGTTGTCAGGTCTTTTTTTAACAGTAGCAAGAAGCAGCGCTCGTTGCCAGGACACAACGGAGTACAGTTCTGTTCCAAATGCCGTCCTCGTCCTCCCGTACCCGGTAGAACAGACTTTCTGGTGTCCTTGCCAAGAACATACTTGTCTAGTACACAAGAACATACTCGCGTCCTTGAGTATTAAGAAACGGCCAATTACATCATTTTTCTCTTTGAAGGACTTAAGTACCAAAGGTGATGCCAAAGCCATTTCAAATGAGCCTCGTTCCTGACCTGACACCATCTTTGTATTTTTCTTCACTGCAGCTTTAGCAATCAGTCCACCCAACAAATGATTGGTCAGACACAGAACTTTTTGGGCCAATGGTAGACCTGCTGAGTCTACAATGGAGTGTTTTAAACTGACCTGCAGAGCAAAATCTTTTGCTACTGCCATGGTTTGTTCTAGCCTGTGTAATGGGCCATTCCCATCTGTACCGGGTCGGCCCGGGCCGGGTAGCGTAGGTTGTTTACATATCTGGGTGGCCTGGTATTTTTCCGGGCCAACCAAGGCTCATTCTCAGCCCTCTTCTCGAGGGGGTCTGCTTCAGGCCGACCAGGGCCAACACACCCACTGCTGACAGCAAATTCACACCTTCCATTAGAGCAAGCCTCTGATTGGTGGGTAGAATCAGCCCACATGGGCGTAAGACAAGGATGTGTGGAATCAACCGGGCCAGGCTGGGGCCGACTGGGGCTACCCGGCCCGGGTCGTCCCGGTACAGATGGGAATGGCCCATATTTTGCCTTTGTGACACCAAAATGTCCCCATTGAGGGACAATAAAGGAATGCTCTATTCCACTCCACTCTTCTCTATTGTTTTATTCTATTTGACCACTGGGAGTCAGACGTGAAGAAAAGCTTCAGCTTTTCACTTTCACTTTCCCATTGATCGCACCCTCCTGATGAGGACCTTGACTGACTGACAGCTGTAATAAGGAAAATACACTGTTTTATTAAATTGTATGGTTAAATGCTTTATCATTGTTGACTGTTCTTTTTTTTTTATTCACACAGATGATGAGAAGCCCACTCCAGCCCCCATTAATGCTGTGTCTTTTATGGGACCAACAACAAAACCAGCTCCCCATGCCATTTTCCTGGAGAAGTTACAAGATTTGAATACATCCAAGTACTTGTTTGATTTCATTTTGTTAAATTTTTAACAAAAATAGCTCCAACTTCATTCTGTTTTTCTCCTGTAAGTTAAACTAACTTGAGGTTGGAAGCTTTTGCAGATTACATCAGTTTTTCTTATTGAATAGTATTACAGAGTTATTCACAGTGACACCTCATTGTGTTCTTTGCTAATAGACATCTGTATCTATTATCAGTCCAGGACAGCTGCTATTGGTGAAATACTCAGTTTTATGCGGCTGCTTATGTGCTATAATTAAATTATGCGGTTATATCTTCTGCTGTTATCTGAACCGAAGATCATTTTCAGTTCAGTCTTACTTTTATTTAGTTTAAAATCAAAGCCAACTCTAAAATAGATGCACAGATGATAAATGTGGGGTTTTCTTGTTAAAAGTGCTGCAGGTGATGTGATCAGCCTGCTCAACGACTACCTTTTCAGTGAGCTTCCTCTCGACATTGAAAACATGCATAAAGGTGCAACAACTTTAAGGCACCTGAAGCGCACTCTGGTTACTGCCTGCCAAGGTCTCAACAGGTTAGCATCTTTCTGGATTTTCCTAAATTAAATTGTTTTAAATATACAGACTCTTATTAAAGTATGATGACTTGATGAAGATTGTCTCTTGTGCCACTTGGTTGCGATGTTGGTTAGCAGCACTATTTTCTTCACAGCGGGAAGGTCCTGGTTTTGAAAGTCATCTGGGGTTTTCTGTGTGAAGTTTGCATGTTTTCCTTCTACATTTGTGGGTTTCCTGTGGTCCCACAGCACAAAATCTATTCAATCAATCAATCGAACTTTATTTATAAAGCTTCATTCTCCACGGCCGGTAAAATTAGTTTGGAGAGGTAAGAAGGGCCCAGACCATTAAGACACTTAAAAACCATCAAAAGAACCTTAAAATCGATCCTGAAAAGTATGGGGAGCCAATGCAATGATTCTAAAACCAGAATGATGTGTTCCTGCTTCCTTGTATTCATCAGGACACGTGCTGCTGAATTTTGTAAGAGTTGTAAACCTGAGATGCTCTTTTTAAGCATTCTATTCTACTGGTGATAAAAGCATGCATCAGCGCCTGTGTATTGGCCCGATAGAGAATGGGGTGGACTCTGGCAATGCTCTTTAGGTGATAAAAACCTATTTTAGTAATATTTTCATGTGAGGAATAAAAGTCAGCTCAGAGTCAAAAATCGCACCCAGGTTCTTCATTTGCTGAGATGGATTAAAAGACAGAGATTGTAGTCTTGGTAAAAGTTTCTCACTCTAGGCCTCAGGACAGATAACTAAAACCAGTTTTGTCCTGGTTAAGCTGGAGAAAGTTTTCCACCATCCAGGATTTGATACGGAGATGTACAACTGTGCATCATCAGCATAACTGTGATTGTCCTTGATTCACATGGACCCTAGCTCAGTGTGTGTGTGTGTGTGTGTGTGTGTGTGTGTGTGTGTGTGTGTGTGTGTGTGTGTGTGTGTGTGTGTGTGTGACTGTTTTATCACTGGTGACTGGTGATAATAAAATGCATGCATGGTTTTGGTTCTACAGTGAAATCGATCTCACTCTAGCAAGTCTGGAAACTTTGGCCAAAGTCTTCGACCATCCAAGCTGCACGTTAACGTCCACCAAGGCACAGGTACTGAAACAAACCATCCAATTTCCAGTATGGATAAAGGTTTGTTCCCAGTGAGACTTTTGTCTTGTGTTTTGGTAACCAGGGTCCAGACATGGAGATTGACAACTTGTTGTGTAAGATCTCAGCTTTGGTCAGCCTCCTCTCTTCTTTGGAGAAAAAAGTGAGTTTGCAGCAATGAGCTGCTAAGCTCCAATCCTGCAGACATCACTAACCTAAAGACATCTTGACAATGATTTTTACCAGTTTGATGACTAAAACTAAAGGTCTTCCTTCCTATGAAGGTTTTAAAAGCTTTACAAGATGCAGTGACCAACCACAATCTAGCAGCTCAGCCCAGCCCACCTCCTCCTGACCCGACGCCTGCCGCTGTAACGCCTATAAGACACAAAGCCCGACAGCTCCCTGTGCACTCCTTCCAGGTAAATCAGACCAACAAAGATGCTATCTCACAATAACATCGGTCACATATTATATTTGAATTTTATTAATTAAAAAACTAATTTTATGATCCAGCAGAAACACCAGTCTTGATGTGTATGTGTGTCGTTAGGTGAAGATGGTGAGGTATGGCAGACAGACGGTTTCCGTGGATGTGGACTCTGGAGTGTTGCTCTTTGACAGGAAGGCTGGCTCGTTTGGTGTAGAAAGGGTCTCGCATGACAGAAGTAAGCACACGTTCCTGTTCATTCTTACTGCCTGAATGTGCCTTTAAGTATAGATACTAGTTTCTGAACACTAGAGAGCATGCTAGTGTTTACAATAAAATAGATGAGCATCTAAGCATTTTTTTAACTCTGCTAGAGTGCATCTGTCAGACCTTTCACCAAGTCCTTTTAGCATTATTTAGCAGAGGTGTGGACTCGAGTCACATGACTTGGACTTGAGTCAGACTCGAGTCGTTATTTTTTTTACTTCTGACTTGACTTGATAAGATCTATAAAGACTTACAACTTCACTTGGATTTGAACGCCAATGACTTGTGACTTGAATCGACTTGCATCTGTTGACTTGATGATGACTTGAGCATATTTGATATTTTAGTACAAAAGTGGCACGACATGGACAACAGTCATAAATCATTCTTCATTCTGGGTTTGATTTTGTTCTGCTAAATGCAGCAGCACTTTGTTTATAACCAGTTTCAGTTGCACTTTCTGCTTGTTTCGGCAAATAAATCAAGCTTTAAGAAGCTTTATTTCTGGAATTTATTTATTATCATTGTCATTAAATTGAAGTTGGATAGATGACTTGATTATGACTTGAAAATTCAAAGTTAATGACTTGGACTTATGTTTATGTTTATTTATTTGGCAGACGCTTTTATCCAAAGCAGCTTACAATTTATAACCTATAGGGCATGTTGTGATCTGTGGGGGAAACCGGTAGCCTGGCAAGCCAGACTAAATAAATGTATTATTTAGTCTGGCCACGCTCCATTGACGGCTCTCGGTTGTGGGGCGGGTTCTACCGTTGTCTTTCAAATGATCTCCTCATTCCACTGGACAATGAATGTGACATACTCTTGTTTCACTCTGTTGCATCATCCCACCCACCAGGCATATAGAGTGCCCTGATTGGCCCACAAAGCGGATAAAGCTCTGTGATTTGTTCACTAAGCAGATAGAGCACTATGATTGGCCCACCGTTATGGACCAATCACTGCTCTTTATGTGTTTGAAACCCCTCTAGAGAGCTGTGATTGGCCAGCCAGAGTCCTGGTAGGAGCTGCTGAGGTTCCAATGGAGCATGCCTAGACCATTCTTTGCAAAGCAAGAATTTGGTCTAGTTCACTAGGCTAGGAAACCGGAGTACCTGGAGGAAACCCACGCATGCATGGGGAGAACACGCAACTCCACGCAGAAAGGCCGCAGCAGAGTTTCGAACCTGCAACCTTCGTGCTGCGAGGCAACAGTGCTAACAACTGCGCCACCATGCAGCCCAGACTTGACTTGGACTTCCACATCATTGACTTTTGATTCGACTTGGACTTAGTTGTCTTTGACTTAGACTTGACTTGCGACTTGACTGGAAAGACTTGTGACTTACTTGTGACTGCAAAGTGTGACTTGGTCACGCCTCTGTTATTTAGTAATTGTTTTGCTAAATCTAAAGCCTAATTTTCATGTGTCAGTTGTCCAGATCGTCAAGTTCCAAAACAGTCCAGCAAAGGTACATTTGGTGGTTGACGGCTACCGCAACACACCGCGGGAGATGACGTTTGAAAGCGCTCAGGTGAGATAAAACAACAAAACTCATCATTAAATGTAATCCAAGCTCTCCCCATGTCTTCATTTTTATCTCCTTCAGAAATGTGAGTCCTTCTGCCACCTCCTGCTGCTGATGAAGTCCGCACACGCTCAGCTGGATCAACCTGATCTGGTGTCGGTGTTTGTCGGCACCTGGAACATGGGTAATCATTTCAGTGTTGACAATAATTTTCATTAGCTGTTAACAGAAAACTCACCATAGAGAGTGTAAGTCTCCTCCCTTTCCGGTCGACTCATGGGTCCCCAGAGGAGCAAAAAAAAAAAAATGAATGCAAGTCAACGGGGCTAAAATAGCTATTTTCTAATCCGCTTCGCCTTACGCTTTGGATCACACATATGTTGTATTTCTATTTAAATGAAAAGTAATAATGTGTTTCGACCACACCAGTCATGTACTTTGAGATTCATCAGCTTGTAAAAATTCGTAATTAGCACAACTACAAATCAGACATCGGCACGTCGCGTATACGACGTCGCCGAATAATCTCCTCTCCCCTAGCATAGCTGCTACTTACCACATGGCCAGCTTTATGGTGGTTCTTTGCTCCTGAAGGAAGTATTTGAAGTTTGCTGAACTTACAGCCATCTCCCCTCTGTTTTTCTCCGTGGCCGGGAGCAATGACATCACTTTGGTGATGCACATTTGTAGTCCTGGACTTATTTTCACACAAAACCTGAAATAACGTTTCCCCCTGTTTGGAAATAAGCATGTCCTTGGTATCAAAATGTGTCTTTAAAATTCACAGACATAATATGTGAAATCCATGGCACAAAACAAGCGGAATTAAAAAATAGCTTTTAAAGCCGCAGTGACTTGCATTACGTTTTTCGTTCTTCCCATGGTCCGGAAGTAGATGGGCGTGACTTAGGCTCCCTATCGCATCATTCGTGTGTTTGCAGGTGGTTCCCCTCCTCCTCGAAGCCTGCAGTCATGGGCGACCTGTCGTGGATTGGGACGCACCCCTGATGAGTCCACTGCTTTGCTTCCTCATGACATTTATGCTTTGGGAACTCAGGAAAACCCACAGGGGGAGCGGGAGTGGACTGAACATGTCAAGGCAACCCTTCGGAGCTATACTCAAGTTGACTTTAAACTGGTGATTATCTTTTATCTACCTTTTTGGGGGGGTGGGGGTGGGGGTGTATTTGATATAATATTTGGAATACAGATACTTGTGCAGTAGATGAAATATAGCATGAGCTAAGAATATGTGCATATTTTAAAAAAGTTTGTTTTATAACCAGCTGTCAAATTTTAATATTTGTAAAAGAACATACACGTTTTTGCAAATGAACGATGAGCTATTGTACTTTTTCTGCTGGCTAATGTTTATAACATCTCAGTTACTGCTAGCTTTTTGATACAAATCACTGAATTCATGATAACATGTTAAATTTGGGAAATCATCTCTAGTTTGACTTGATTCTCCTGAATAATCAACTAAACAATTAAATACTCTTACAGTTTTACCTCTAAATGAGTATATTATTGCAGCAGCGTGTTAACCTTTTGTGTGTTTCAACATTCATCTTTTGGTTCTAAAATGACTCAGATGCTGTTAATTTAGTTTGGTGAATATTAACTGAAGACGTTTTAGCTAATACACTTTTAAAGGTTTCCTCAAAACTATTCTAAAATTTAGATCATAAATTTCTTTAATTTTATTTCTCTGCCTCTTAAAAACCTGTAGTGTGATTCACTGAAAAACATTTTTAATTACTATTTCAGTTTTTCATGCAGGCTGAACATTCAAATAGCCTTCTACACCTATTTCCTGCGTTAGCTTCTGATAGAAAATCCTCTAAGCCATCTCTGCAGCCTTGCTTTTAACCACATAAAGGACCATATAAAAATAGCAGCAGAAAATAATAATTTAGACTTAGCTGAGTGGTTAATTGTGCTATGTTTAGAAGAGGTCTGGAGACAACTTGTTGCCCACATCTGTTCATTTAACACGTAACAAAACTAAAATATATGTTAGTATTTTTTTTATTTAATGAAAAACATTCTTGAATTTAAAAAAGTAATTTTAAACAAGTCGAGAGAGAGAGAGAGAGAGAGAGAGAGAGAGAGAGAGAGAGAGAGAGAGAGAGAGAGAGAGAGAGAGAGAGAGAGAGACTGAGTGATCAAATTGTTGTAATGTAACGTGATGTCCTGTAGGTGGCAGTGCAGTCCCTCTGGAACATCAGGCTCGCTGTGTTTGTGAAACCAGAGCATGAGAGTGGCATCAGCCATGTGAACACAGCCAGTGTGAAGACTGGCTTAGGAAACACTTTGGGTGAGCTTTTTTTTTTTTTCTTGCAAGATTTTAACTTTACAGCTTAACACAAACAGATAAAAGCTAAATGTCATACCGATTATTCCAGGAGTATTTAGAAAAGGTTTTGAGTTTGACTTGTCATTTCAGGAAACAAGGGAGCTGTTGGAGTATCCTTCCTCTTTAATGGGACATCCTTTGGGTTTGTTAATTGCCACCTGACCTCTGGAAGTGACAAAGTACTAAGGTTCATTGTGTGTTTCCATGTAAGAAATGTTTATCTTGTTTTGTTTCTTTTCTGATTAAATAATTCCTTGTTTGGACATTTGATCACCCAGGAGGAACCAGAACTTTGTGGACATCCTGAGGCTTCTCTCTCTGGGTGACAAACAGCTCTCTGGATTTGACATCAGTCTGCGCTTCACCCATCTCTTCTGGTGTGGAGACCTGAACTACAGGCTCGACCTGGACGTGCAGGTCAGCCCGACTCTCATAGATGCTGATGCCACGTTGCTCTTGTGAAATGTATGCTTCCTTTATGATTTCCATTTATCTCCAGGACATCCTGAAACACGTCTCCAAGAGAGAATTTGAGGAGCTCATGTGTGCAGACCAGTTGACCCGAGAGAGACACAAGAGGAAGGCCTTTTTTAATTTCAGTGAGCTTCACGAGTGACCAAACAATAAATGGTTCATTTTATCATTTCCACTTATGCTTTATTTATCTGTTTATGCTGGTTAAGAGGAAGAAAAGATCGCATTTCCGCCCACGTATCGTTATGAAAGAGGCTCTAGGGATTGCTACCTGTGGCAAAAATACAAGACGTCAGGGGTGAGTCTGGTTTTGCTGCACTTGGAATCGGATCACAAACACTTCCACTTGGATTTACACCAGCTGCCAAATCGTTTTGAGAAATACAGTTTGTTTACAGTTACAAATAATAAACTAGCAACCAAGGCATGGAATTTAGTCATCCATGTCTCAAAATGCACCATTTTAAAGGAATTGTTGATTTGGCTTTCATTTCTAATCATTTTAAGCTATAAATAGGTACTTTATACAGTGTGTGCATTTTGTTTTCAAGAGTAAGATTTACAATACAAGATTAGTGACACAGTAAGCAAAGACAGAGGCATCAAGCACGTATTTGGATTTGTTAGAAACTGGGATCTTAGCCGCGGATCAGTCATGGAGCGATGCCCCCGGAGCAGATAAGCTTTATAATCTCACTCAAAGGCCAAACAGTGGGAGCACACGAATGCCGAGCTCAATCTCCTGACCTTCCAGTCAGTAAGCCACTGCCCAGGCCTGCGATCCACTGCTGCTTCATTCCAAGTCTACTCTTCTTTAGGCAATTTCTTTGTAACTTGTTCCTGTTTGGGTGTAATCTGTATGGGGATAAGTAACTTTGACTGCAGCTTCTCTGATCTTATCACTAAAATAGCAGGTTTAGAGTTAACCTCCTGTCTAAAACAGAAATAAGTTCATCTTTCTCTGTGTATTTTTTATCTGCAGGCAGAAAATTGCACAGTTCCTCGTGGTTTATGTAACAGAAAATCCCTTCTCTATAGGTTCGAGTTAATGTGCCGTCGTGGTGTGACAGGATTCTGTGGAAGTCCTACCCAGAGACGCACATCATCTGTAGCGCATATGGTGAGTGTGAATGTATAAAAGGAACAACATTTACTCAGAAAACCTGTTAACAAGTAATCAGACCTGCTCAGTGTTGAAATGTTCTCAAGAAGCAAGCTCAAATTAAAACATTATTTTGGTGTATAAAAATAGCTTTACCATTGTGTACAATGGGATCTTAACATAAACAATGAATTGCCTCTGTGCATGAATGTGCTATACAAATGAAGCTACCATGCCTTAAACAAGAAAGAAATAAACCCACAGGTTAATGAGGACTGAGTCTTTTCCATTTGTTGGGTCTGACTGACTGTGACTAACCTGGGCAGCAGACTGACCATTTTTTCTCACACTAAACATTTGGTTGGTTGAAATCCTGGAAAATGACTTTGAACAATATAAAAAGACAGAGAAACTTGGTATTTAAAGGCACTCCTGGCAGTTTTGCTTGCCTTTAGTACTCCCTAATGTCAGTTATTCATTTTCTGTGGTCAAACTGAAAATGAAACCTATCTCCTCTCTGTGTGTTCGTCAGCTGAAATGTCTCCTCAGCCTTCCTTATAGGAGCGGTTCATTACTTAATCAAACAAATAATCTGTAGTCATTATCTAAAACATGCTGGAAACGTGCTGGAAGTAGACTGCAGCGCCACTTATGTCAGCAATTTTTCTATTTTTCCAAAAAAACAAAAAACTAACCGTTAGCATTAGTAACTCCACCACATGACAGAACTCCTTCAGGCTTGTGTTATTTGTGGAGATTAAACAGTAAATTCTGATATAACCAAACCTCAGGAGCAGAGGTTCTACTACAAGCCCCTCCCCTTCTCAGCTGACTAGGGAAGGGGTGGCTGTGGTAAACTCCAGCTTGTTTTTTTAAAGTGAAAAAAGCCTCAAAAGGCTCATTCTGGAAGGTACTGAAATTGACAAGTGTAAAACTGCTGAAAACGCTTTGTGAGAGGGATTTAGAGAAAAGAGCTTCAGAAACCCTTTTTTTTAATCAACCATAAAACTATTATAACTTCATACAAAAAGTTACACATCTACTTTAAAGTAAATTACTGGTTTATTTCTCATCAGGTTGCACAGATGACATATTTACGAGCGACCACTCACCTGTTTTTGCCACATTCCAAGTGGGAGTGATGTCCCAATGCAACTCCGGGGCGGGTGTGTATTATCATAGAAATTGTTAGAATACAAATATTCATGATTAAATGAAACAGAATTGTAAAAAAAAATCCAAGCAGATTTGAGTTTGAGCTTGGAGAGAGCCTGGATTGAGCTGGAAGCTATTGATGTCATTGTGAAGACAGCAAGCAAGGCCAAGTTCTTCATTGAGTTTCACTCCTCCTGTCTGGAAGGTATGACCACATGTCAAAAAGACGTGATGAAGGATAATGATGCTCATTTGTAAATGCTGATTTAAAACTTCTTTTTGAAGAGACGCAGCGCTCCACTGAAAATAACTCACAGAGTTGTGATGTTCCTGGCTTTCTCAAACTGGGATGGACCTCCAAACAGCTCCCTAAAGTCAGTAAATTGGTCTGTTTGAAAATGGTTAAAACACAATGTAATGATCTGTCTTGTTGACTTCAAGTGTTTATTTTTATCATAGCTTTTTCCAGTCTTGTCTGACATGGAATACCTCCAGGACCAGCACCTGCTACTATCTGTAAAGTCTTGCGATGGATTCGAGTCGTACGGTCAGTCCAGTCACAGGATCTTTCCTGTCAATTGCTAAATGTTGCTTCACTTTGATGGGATTGGTCCATAAAGATGCAAATCATCTCAAAGAATAACAACAACAACAACAACAACAACAACAACAACAATAATAATAATAATAATAATAATAATAATAATAATAATAATAATAATAAAAAGCAAAACAATCATTCTCATTTCAGATTGTATTGTTGTGTTTTTTAAAGCAACACTTAATAAGTTACCGTTTTCTCCCTCCTACTGGTTGAAAAAAACTGTTGTAAAAAAACTGTCGCCTGCTGTAGCTAGTGCTAACAATGAGCTAATGCTAACATAAGCCAACTGATACTGAATAAGTCACAAAGGAAAAAAAACATGATTACATAGTTAAGTCCAGTTAGCAACAAAGCCAGGTCGCCATCAGTCCATAAATCCATAGCCTCCTTTAGCTTCCTCAGGCTAGTGTAGGCCGCACCGATGTTCACTCTAGTTTTAGTTCTTTGCTTTATCTCCAAACGCATTACTGTCTTAATTTTTTTAATAGGCCCTGCCACGATGCCAACAAAAAAAGAACTAAGTAAAAATTCTTATTCTTCCTGTGCTTTTATTGATGTTTGGCAAACTGAAAAAGCTAAATGATAGCCTTTATATGAGCTACTGTCACAGTGAACAGTTGTTGCCGTAAAGCAGGTAGAGCCCTCCTACCAGTGTTCCTACCAGAACCATAAAACTTCAGTTTCTGGTCAGCAGAGTGCTGTCCAGTGTGAAGTTGCTCAGCTTTCTGGCTCAAGAACCACTGAAACCAGTTTGAAAAGCTTAAAGTGTTAAAAACTACGTTTCCTGCACAGTTTAGCTTCTAATTGCATTAGAAACATTATAAGAAGGTGATGAAATGTAACATTTGAGAACTTTGTTTAGATAATTAGAAGTGATGCTACATCATTTCCACAGGCGAATGCTGTGTGTCTCTGCGTTCGCTGACTGGAGCCTCGCAGAAATTTGAGACGTTTCTGAGTCACCGGGGTGAGGAAATGGGCTCCATCCGAGGAAGGGTTCGAGTCCACGTTCCCAAAGACAGACGGGCCACACGGCACAAGATCTATGGTGGGTCGTCCAAAAATATTTCTTTCTGAATAGCTGCCTTGCTTGCACTATCACTTCCCTCTACACCTCCTCTGTCTCTGACTCCTTTGACCCTGCCTGGAGTCTCGTGTTGCTTCATCTACTTGGTTATTCAATGACCCCACCCCCACCCCCGACTTCACTTTGCAAACCTACTGGTATCTATTGGCTGCTTCCTCTTTTGACTCCTGATTGACTGACTATGACCAGATGCATCCTGAGACACAGAAACAGGACATTTGGGTAATGTGCCATCAGGTCAGATTTTTCACACACACACAAACACTATGCTCTGTGACTGCAAACTGGCAAAGGCCTTTAGCACTTTGAAGAAGTTTCACTTATTACAAAATCGGGTTTTCATTTCCTCTAACTTTACTTTTTCAGAATTGTTTTGTTTTGAAAAAGAGGATAAAGGTCCTGGAAGGGGACACGTGTCTCCTGCAGCAACACGACTCCCAGTAACGAGGTAAGAACCACTGAATGTGATTAAGAAAAATCAGTATTCCTAATAAATCTGTTTGCAATAAAAAAAAGTAACTCAGTTGTTTTAGAATCCTGCTTGAAAATGTGAATTTCTGATGGATTTCCTAAACTGTTCAGAAAACTCACCAAAAACAAACTTAGCATGAAACCAATAAAATGTTGTTTTGCTCCTCAGTTACAAGTCTACATGTTTGATGATTTATCAAGAATGAAAGCCCAGAACTCCGCATAAACACCTATCAACAGATTTTGTTACAGTTGTGTCAGATTGAAGCAACACGCCTCAGTGAATGTCACTTTCCTACACGTTTCAGCGCACCAAATAGAAAACGCAACAGGAATAATCTTCAGCTTCTGTTTAGACTCGTGTTAGTGTGTCTCGTGGGAGTTTATTTATCCTCAGGAGAACATACACTAAACACTGTTTTCATCATTTTCATAGGGCTCTTACTGAGTTACATCTCTGAGTTTGTGTCAACAGAAGAAACAGAAAGTCCATAAGAGGAGAAGTTCCTTATATAACCTTTCATGCTGAAAGTTGGTTAGAATTTCCTCATAACTTCATTTGTTCTCTGAAAAGGTCTCCAGTGGCTTTCCTCGTGAGCTACTGAGACAGCAAGAACCCTCCTATATTTGCCTTTTCTGTGATGTTTGGCCTCATCTTCTAACACTTTCCACTGACACAAATTTTAAAAGATTTGGAAAAGAATTTTTATAATGTGAGACATGCTCACTTGTTGCAGACCGACCGGAGTTCCTGCTAAACCCACTCCGAGCAGCTACACCAACCCTGCTTACTTCATCTTTGAAGGTGTGTCTGTCCCCCCCAGAGTGGAGGAGCGTCTCCCCCACAGGAGGGACCCTCAGGTGATCTGGTCCGGTAACGAGGCCTTGCAGCTTCCAAAAGTCTCTGTCCGACATGGCTTCAACCGGAGGAGCTGCCGAAGATCAGACTTTACAGAAATTGAAATTCCAGCTCTCCCACCTCAGTGCGCTCCAACCAGCGACTTTCAAATACCCCAAACCAGCTCCTCTTATCAGCTTTTTCCAGTCCAAAGCCCAGCTCCTGCACCTCCACCCTCTGGAAACCCCATCCCACAGTACCAAGAGCAGACTTCACCTCTCAGAGACAGACACCAGGGAAAAACTCATGTCCAGGACTCTGTGCAGCCTGAAAGCAACGTGAGGAACTTGTACATGAATCACTCTGAAATGATCAAAGAAACAGCCCGACACGATAAACCCCTGCTCCTTCCATCAAAAACAAATGCAGTCCAAGCATCAAAGACCCCATCGGCGCTGCCATACACCTCCTCTCACTCAGCACACCGTCACTCTTCGGCCTCCTGGATCGTGGATAAACGTCCCCCGGCACCAACAGGAGACAACTCCCTTACTGCTTTACAAATAGCCAAGTCCCTCAGTGAAGTTGACTTCTTCCCATCAGTGGAGAGAGGCCAGTCTGCAACCAGGCAGAGGATGACTTGTAGAAATGGTCCTTTAAAGCAGGCAGACCGGGGCTACAGCTGGGAGAAAGAGGTCTGATACTCCTCACAGAGACAAACTGAAAACGATTTTGGTCCTTTTCTTGAAAATTTAAATGTCTGTTTTGTCCCAATGCAGGCGTCGGTCCTGAAATGTGCGCCTGAAACTGTGCAGGAGCTCCTCAGTACTCTGGGACTTCAGAAATACACCCTGGGACTTAGTCTGAGTGGCTGGGATGATCTAGATTATTTCAGGTAACCGAAGAAAAATACTAATACACATGACGTTATCGATGCTGCTTTAGAGTTTTCAGAAGAGAATCTGAAGCCGATGTAAGTAAATGTGAAAACAGGGTAAGGGACTCTTTTCTTAGACTCTAATTTTTTTTATCTTAAATTTGAGTTAAAAGGGTACAAGTTAAAGTGGAAAGTGTGGTTGGTAGTAAAGAGGGTGATGTTTGTATCATTTCAGTGCAGTCTGAGGAAATGACAACAGCAGGTAAATCAGGAACAGCATCTTTTCATGTCATACTGTGGCTTTAACAAGGAACCATACCAGCAAGCTGAAAGTAATGGTTTATGTTAATGAAGGGTTATGTCAGGTCATCATGAGCTGTCTGCATCATCCCGGCAGCAGACATCAGTCTGTGATCTAAGTTTAAGTAACTTCATCTAAACCATCCCAAACTCAGAACTTACCCAACTCACCCCAGTGCACACTAAAGGTTTCTGTCTCTTTTTTTGGGTGGGACAGGGTTAAAAAATGTTTCATTAATCAGAGGATACATTAATTAATCTTGATTTATCACATTTTATTTGCTTGAGAAAATTAGCCCCCAAGCAATTTTTTTTATATTTAACGAATTTATTGAGGCACAGATGACACACCCACACTTTAATGAGTATATTTCTGTAACCACTATGTCTTTTGGATTACTTTGGTTTCACTATAAAGGGAACCATTGTGGGATTTGTTGGCATATGTACAGAACTGAACACTAGGTGGCAGCAGAGCACTGCTAATTTATATAGAGGTGTAGTGTAGAATTCAGGGGAAGTTCTGCTGAAAGTTACAAGATGAATGCTGTGTGTGCTTGATCCTCCTGCTGTAATGAAGTTCAAATGAACCTTTTTTACATGACACACTGTGCTGACAAATCAGCGTAATATTACCGCAATGGCATGTCTTGTAAATGCGCCATGCTGGCATGGCAATGCTCGAATTTGTTCCGACTCACTTGGTAGTAATATCGCGGTAATTGTCTATCTTATAAACGGGGATTGCGCCTTGGTGCAACGGAGTGAGGTGTCATGATCACTTGGGGAGTTACTGCAGACTTATGGCTGGCAACTATACTGAAAATGAAAGTAAAAATGGGCCATAAATATTACCTTTGTAAACAGAATCAGCTGAGACAGCAAACTGGAGTGCTGCAGCGCTGCGAGAGCTTTTCTCTGTTAGAGCTGGAAGTCAGCTCATTAGAGAGGGCCCAGAGACTGTGGGGAACCGACCCCTTTAGAAGTGGCTTATTTAAAAAATAAAATAAAATAAACGAGCATGGCTTCGATCGCAATAAAAAACAAGTTATGTCCAAGTTAAATGGAAGTCCATGGCAGCACAGAGACTGTCCCCATACCCCCTTTATACCGCCATCGCCAAGGACACGATTGCGCCACATTATCTCCGCGGTGTGACCACTTATAAATGACTTAAGGTTCCCAGATGCCGCCACGGCGTTGTGGCAAAATGACGTCATTCTTTTATAAAAACGGCTGTAGATGAAGTTACTTCCTGCCTGATATCTACCAACTACAAAACCTGACTGTAAAAAAAAAAAAATTTCTTTCTTTTCTTCATGAAGAGCGATTTGTCATGATTCATTTAATTGTAGTTTCAGTTGTGTTTGAAGCACATAAAATAGGTTTATATGATCTTGTAGCAGGCTCTGCAGTTTTGTCAGAGGTGCAGCTTGATTGTAATTATTGTTATATAGGGCATACATTTTTATGCTACCCTTTCCGTCTCCCAATTGGGAGGTGTTCGTGCTCAAGGGGTAAAGTTAATGTATTATTTTTCCCTGATTAATTAATTGTAATTTTGCCCTGTGATGGACTGGCCATCTGTCCAGGGTGTACCCCGCCTGTGTGCCCAATGACAGCAGAAGATAGGCACCAGACCCCACCACCCCCCACCCCGCGACCCTGCATGGGAAAGTGGGTTACAAAAATGGATGGATGGATAATTGTAATTAATGTGTTAAATTCCCATCCCTACTTGCTTCACATGGTTGCTAAACTCGCTGCTTTGGATCTACAGAGTTCACCATGAGTTGTTTCTCTTTTCAAACTTCATTTTAAGCTCTAAGAAGGCTAAAATTATTAGTGATCTGCACTGATTACATTAAAGCTCCAGGTTCTCTTTCTTTGTTCTACCAAAAAACAAAAAAACACTTTGGTAACATTTTTGTACGGTGGATCTAAGGTGCAAAACACAACCTTGGACAAAATAACAATAACACATTCATTAATAAAATCTTTGAGAAAAAGCTTTTCAAAAACTTGACAATTCAAAAACACTTATAGATCTAAGACCCAACCATAAAGAAAAAAAACATTCATCTCTTTGAGATGATAAATCCTCTTTTGGTGTGTTTGGCTCTGATTCTGTTTTCTTCTAATTTGTGAAATAGGAAATTCTCTCAATAAAACGTCATTATTTTTGTTGTGTTTGTCACTTCAAGGCTGCCGTACATTTGTCTTTGCACATCCTGGGAGAACGTTTAGTTTTTTTTACCATGTAGAACTCAGACAAAACAACCTTAAAGCACTTTCAGATAAAGTTTAGTTCACAAGGATTTCCAGCTTGTGTGGTAAGAGAGTGGTTGGGGCAGAGCTTTCATGGCCAGTTAAAGAAGAGGAATGCTTACAGCAGGGAAAACCGGTCTCAGTGTGCAGGCATGTTTTAAGGCCAGTCTTTAAAATGTGCACCATTTCTTTAAGGTCAAGTAAAATAAACAGTGACATGTCAAGATTCAGCCAGATCAAAAATTCATACTGAGTGCTGATATTCATGTTAATTTAGAATATTAAGTATAAAATTATTCATCTCTGTTCTAGTGGCATCACTGAAGAGGACCTGTGTGCAGCAGGAGTAACAAACCCCTCGCACCGTCGCAGGATTCTGGAGAGCTTGCCCAGGAACTGGACCTGACAGGAACTATATAAAGACCTGTCACTTATTCACAAATGGAACTGGAAATTCCATTTGGACATTCTGATTTATACTGTAACAAGTTTATCTGTGCCGACACGCACAAGAAGAAAATACTTTTTGAATTCCACACCTTCTTAATCTGCCTGAACCATTGATATGTGTCTCTAGTTTGTGATAAATTACAAGAATTAATCTTTTTTTGCTTCATTCATTTCGTTTTTCAGTGATTCTTAAAATGTTATAAAAATACAGCCCCCTGTGTTCACTTAAGGCCAGTGTTTACCATCTATTTCCTGCCACGGGCTTCTTTATCTTGCTAATGTGGAGCCAGAGTCTGATCATACAGAAGTCCTACAATAAACCTATACAGCATAAATCCATAGAAGGGAACCAAAGAAAGAACATGTTTGCCGTTTCATAATGTTACCACCATGTCTCCTAATGAGTTGCGTGCTATGTTCGGTGCACATATTATACAGTTCATAAAGCAGCACTTGACTGAGCAATCACAAGTGGTTTTGCTTTTGAGCAAACAGTAAAACAACTTTTTATGGTCCTCTCCTCCATCTCTGACCTAATGCACCACCTTGTTGCTTCATATTCAGCGCTGCAAAAGCAAGGTCTCTTTTGTCTTCAGGTTTTCTTTTCATTTTTGCTGCAGCTTTGCCACAGAGGATAGTCAGATATTTTCCTCTAATCTGCAATTTAATCATAAATGTTTAAAGAAACCTAAAACAAATCAACTGTTTCTGTGATTAATTGTTTTCTGCCAACTCCATCTGGCCTTCCAACACTGAATCACACTGTTACTGGTTTGGTGTCCATGAAATACCAGATTTGCTAAACACTGCACTCCGTGTGTTAATCAGGACACATAAACACTGCACTCCGTGTGTTAATCAGGACACATATTTGTGTCTAGTACTAGTGTAACAGTGTACATGAATATCGTTTACTTCTTCCAGTTGACTGATGCTGATTCTTCTCTCGTGTTTATCAGCTGACATAAAAACCGTGTCTAAAGTTTTGTGGTGTTTTCCAGCTCACCTACATGCAATAATAGACTGCAGCAGAAAGCAACGCGACCGCTGTCAATCTAATCCTAAAAATAACTCCTCTTTGGTGTGTGTTTGTGTTTTGAAGCATTCAGCTGAAGTTGTTACTGATTAAGGAGCAAATAAACATGCAGTTAGCAGGTATGTGTCAGTGACCACTAAGTCACTAACCCCTCTGAATGTAGTGATGTCATCACTGGAGCACAAACAGGGATTTTCTCCTCTTCACGTAGAAAGATCCGTACCAGCAGGATGACTTTAGAAGGAAATAATAAAGGACTGAATAAGCATTCATGGTTAAGTTGATCAAGGGTGAAAATAGTTTGAACACCTTGTGTGTGAGTATGTTCATTGTCATATGCACCACTTGGCAAACCTATTTATAATCCATTAACATTTTAAGTCAGCCCCATTCAAGAGACCTACCACAGCTAATCAGCATGAACTAAAATAGCTATAACTATGTCTCCCCCCTTGTCCTGTCCAGCTGTAAAGCAATCAGAATGATGTCTGAGTGCCGAAGACAAGATTTACAGTTTTACTCACAGTAATACCAAAACTTTAGTAGAAATATTTTCAGTTGTTTTAAAACCCAACATACACGGAGATGAAAGAGAAAGGGGGAGAGGAAAGGGAGAGGTGGTGGTGCTGGGGGAGTTCATACAAATAAACAATAAAGGATGTACAAGAATCTGCTTCTAGATCTGCGAAAAACAGAAAATAAGGGGGACACCCAAAAATGCAACTGAACCAAATATCACTGCACCCGGACGAGCCCCCATTCATTTTACAACCCTGATGTGTTGTTAAAATGTGAAGGAGGGGGTAACATGAGAACTTGGAACAGTGAAATAAAAATTGTTTAATTGTCATAAAAGGCTTTAAACAAATGCAAACAGATGGTGAGCATTAGTAAAATATGCCAAACGAAAAGTTCTCAAAATGGTTAACGGTTAAAAGAAAACTGATTCAAGAATTAAAACACCTGTTTAAAACTTTGTTAAAAGTTTTACCGAAACTGAAGGTTTTTTTAAAATCCTTAAAGTTGATCTTAAAACCAGAATAGCGTTAACCTTAAAAAATTTTCATCACTCAGTCAACTAAGTAAACATCAACAAAAGATCCCTTCGGATCACTCAGAGCTTTAACCTTTAAAACTCATTCATCCCAGAGTTAAAAACCATTAGTTAAAACTCATCAAAACGAAGGGGTTTAAACCAAAGTCTGAGACCTGGAGGACAGCAGAACCCCTGCACTGCTGCCTCCTAGACTTCTTCTTCTTCTTTGTTGAAATAAGGCAGGCTAGACGCCATTAAGGCATAATGCTGCCACACCAGCCAACACACCGAGCCAGCACAACCCACTGCACACAACAGGCACGTGTACCATCCCACCCTGTGTTCCCACATAACCACCAACACCCAAAAACCCACCACCCGCTCACACCCCAGTGAAAACACACAACCCCTTATGGAGGCTCACCCCATACTCACACTCCTACCCTCACCATCAACACCCTCCACCAAGGGCGTCCCACAATCCACAGCAGACTCAGAACCCCCAACACCCCGCAAACACGTTGCCCCCCAAACCTCCTCGGGGTACTCGTCAGAAAAACCCAACAAGGCCCCCGCCACTGCTGTCACCTCATGAGCTACATCGGACTTGTTGGACGCTCCAATCTGCACCCTCCACAAGGCCCCAACTAGAAACGCCAAAACTTCCTTTTATTCCTCACAACCACCACGCCCGCCCCCACATCCCCACCACCAGTTGACAAAGACACATTACAAGGACCGGACGCACCACTATTCCGCACCCCCAGACAACGCACCGCCTCAGCATACAACACCTTATGCTCAGCCTGAACCTTTCCCACCTCCACCGCCGCCCTATACACCACACAGCCCCTATAAGGCGCTTGATGGTTCCCACCACAGTTACAACACCGGACCGCACCTCCGACAACGTACCCCCACCACACAGGCACTGGCCACATGACCATATCCCTGACACCTAAAAGACCTCAGAGGAGGTTCCTTGTACGCCCTCACCGCAAAACTTAGGAAGCCCCACTGGACATGAGCAGGGAGCTCCACCGCATCGAAAGTAATCAGCAGCGGAGTGGACCCACGTGCGTTAAACCCCAGACACCGAACAGCCACCACCGTCACCCCGATCATGGAACTAAACACCTCTGACTCAGTGACCTCGTTGGAAATGCCCTACACCACACCCTTAGTCATATGACCAGACCTCGACTCAGAAACCACCACGTCCACCCCCAGAAACTTCTCAACTCGCAGCGCTTTGTAGCACTGGGACTTATTCCGGCACACCACCACCAACAGCCCACTGAACATCATTGTAACGTATAGCACATCCCCTACGACGGCACTCAGCTCCCTGGACACCGCCATCGGGTTAGAGGTAGCAAAACGAGCATCTCCCACCGCCCTGATTCGCATCACAAAGCCACCTTCCTCCAGCCTCTGTTGCTTTAGCTGCACATCCGTCACAATCCGATGCGTCACTGCCGCTCCCACGGTCCCTCTTTGCCACCCCCCACCGACTGAACCAGCGCTCCAGCCCTACTCACCCCTTTCTTCCCCATTGTCCACAACAACCGAGGCTGCTCTGAAGCGAAGCCGAGCCGCTGTCTTACCGGGCCTGTACAGGCCGCCGGCCAACCACCCGAAAAACCCTCAAAGTCAGCCCAAACCCCAGCCTGCTGTAACGCTCTGAAAAAGTTAGATAGATAGATAGATAGATAGATAGATAGATAGATAGATAGATAGATAGATAGATAGATAGATAGATAGATAGATAGATAGATAGATAGATAGATAGATAGATAGATAGATAGATAGATAGATAGATAGATAGATAGATAGATATCCTTTATTGTCATTAAATGATTGTCCATTCAACGAAATTTCCTAGAGCTTCACATTAGGCATCCGCTAAAAATACTAAGAAAATAGCTAAAACAAGTACAATATGCACCATGCAATAAAAACAAAAACATTACAAAATACAATAAATAATATCAATAGAGTTGATTTTTCTGTCCATTCAGGGTTCTAACAGCCCAGGGAAAGAAACTCTTCCTCAGTCTGTCGGTCCTGCAGCTGAGGGATCTGAACATTTTCCCAGAGGGCAGCATGGCAAAAAGGTAGTGGTTTGGGTGGTAAATGTCCCTGGAGATGGTCCTTGCTCTAGTGAGACACCTCTGCAGGGCGATAGTGTCCAAGGAGGGAAGGGTGCATCCAATCATCTTTTCCGCCGCTCTGATGACCCTCTGGTATCTGTTTTTATCAGCTACTTTGCACCCCGCGTACCACACAGGGATAGCGTAAGTCATCACGCTCTCAATGACTGCTCGATAAAAAGACACCAAGAGGTTGGTCTGCAGCCTGTTCCACTTCAGGACCCTCAGGAAGTGCAGCCGCTGTTGTGCTTTTTTGACCAAGGCAGTGGTATTGATTGTCCATGACAGATCCTCAGAGATGTAAATCCCGAGAAACTTAAAGGAGGGAACTCTCTCCACCTCAGCTCCTTGAATGCAGAGAGGGCGGGGGGCATCCTTACTCCTTCGGAAGTCAATAACCATATCCTTGGTCTTCTTGATGTTAAGAGAGCGGTTGTGATCATCACATCATTCTGATGAATGGCAAACCTCATCTCTGTATGCTGCGTCATCGTTGTTATGGATAAGACCTACAAGAGTGGTGTCATCTGCAAACTTAATGATCTTATTAGAGCGATGAATAGGAATGCAGTCATGGGTGTAGATGGTGAACAGCAGGGGGCTTAGCACACAGCCCTGAGGGGAACCAGTGCTGAGCATCAGAGTGGATGACCGCTTGTCACCAAACCTGACAGCCTGTGGGCGATTGGTGAGGAAATCTTTGATCCAGCCACAGGTGGTAGGGGGGAGGTTCAGATTAATCAACTTGGCTACAAGGATGTTCGGGATTATGGTATTAAAAGCAGAGCTAAAATCAATAAAAAGCATTCTAACGGAGGTGCCGGGGTTCTCCAGATGTTGCAAAGAGGAGTGGAGAGCATTAGATATGGCATCCTCAGTAGACCTGTTTGCTTTATATGCAAACTGGCAGGGATCCATGCTGGGTGGGAGGAAGTCCTTGATATGTTTTTGCACCAGCTTCTCAAAGCACTTGGTCACCACCAGTGTGAGTGCTATGGGTCTGTAATCATTGAGACTGTTGATTGTCATAGACTTGGGGAGTGGGACTATTGTTGTTGATTTCAAACAATATGGAACTGTAGCTTCAGACAAGGAGCGACGGAATAATTTGGTAAATACCATGGACAGCTGTTCTGCGCAGTTCTTCAGCACCTTGCCAGGAATACCATCTGGACCAGCCACTTTCCTCTGATGAACAGTCCTGAACACGGTGCGAACCTGTTTTTCTTGAAGTGTGAGTATTTGTGTATCTGAACCAAACTCAGCAGGTGATGTTATAGGAGTGATGTTAGTTGTGGGGAAGCTGGTATTCTCAAAACGAGCAAAGAAATAGTTGAGTTCTTCGGCTAATGAAGCTCCTATTTCAGTGCTAGATCTGCTGTCCTTGTATTTTGTATATGTCTCAGTCCTTCCCAGACCCTCCTTGGGTTGCTGGCAGACAGATGTTGCGACAGCGTTTTGGTGTAGCTCACT